ACCGTGGCGGCCGCCGGGTTCCTCCTCTGCCCCGCGGCCTTTGGAGCTGCGCGTTTCCCTCACGTCGTTTTGTGCCCTTTGAGCTCCTCGTGTCTCCCTCTCCCTCCCTCTCTCATTTCATTAATTAATTAATTTAGTGCCTTTGTCGCTGCCCGTTACCCCCCAGCCTCTCCTCCCGTGCAGGTTGCTCCCAGGTTTCCCTCCCCCAGTCGATATTCCTGCCGATTTCGGGATCGTGTCCCAGGCAGCAGCTCCCAGCGCTTCCCTCCCCGCAGACTCCCGTATCCCGAGGGGAATCGGCCGCTCTCCGTAACCGCCGGCCGCCTTCCTGTCGTTGCAGCCACCGAGTACCACCTGGGCCTGCTCAAGGCCAAGCTCGCCAAGTACCGGGCGCAGCTGCTGGAGCCCTCCAAGTCCTCGGCCGCCAAAGGAGAGGGCTTCGATGTGATGAAATCCGGGGACGCCCGCGTGGCGCTGATCGGGTTCCCCTCCGTGGGTAAGGTCAGTGAGTGCCCGGCCGCCCTCCCTCCTTTGGCGTTTCGCTTCCTTGGCGCGGGTGAGCACGAGGAGGCCGCTGTGCCCAAAGCCCAAGGGGAGAGCGGAGGGAAAACGCTCCCGTCTGCGATCGGAAGCTTCGTCCGGTGTAGCCGCAGCGCTGCTAAGGAAAAGCTGGAAAGGGGGTTCCGTGCAGCGAGGGTCCTGGCTGCCCCACGTCACCCCTTTCATCCCACGGGAGCCCCAACGCAGCGTTTAACCCCCCGGGGTCCCCTCAGTGCTGCCGATGGCCACTTTGGTGTCGCGGATTTTGCTGTGCTTTGCCCGTGCTGTTGTCTCTGGTGACGCTGACATAGAATCATAGAATCACAGAATGGTTAAGGTTGGAAGGGACCTCTAGAGATCATCTAGTCCAACCCCTGCACACGCAGGGTCACCTAGAGCACGTGGCACAGGACTGCGTCCAAGCGGGTTTGAAGATCTCCAGAGAAGGAGACTCCACAACCTCTCTGGGCAGCCTGTTCCAGTGCTCTGGCACCCTCACTGTTAACGTCTTGCATTTCAGTCCACGTTCTTGAGCTTAATGACCTCAACGGCCAGCGAAGCTGCATCGTACGAGTTCACGACCCTCACGTGCATCCCGGGAGTCATAGAAGTAAGTGGGATTCTCCTCCCTTCCACAGAAACTGGTTGCAGCAAGAAACCCAGATTCGTAACCGTGTCTGTCTGCACCAGCTACCCCTGTGCTACCCCTGGGAAGCAGGAGTTAAGCAGCACGGTGATATCCAGAGATCTCTGCTGACTCCTGCTTTAAAATTCAGGAGGTTTTGAGTGTTTTGCAGTATCGGGTCCTCTCTAACCTGCAGTGCTGATTTAGCTCTTCCACCTGCACAACTCTTGGCGATTGACTGCACGCCCGGGCACTGCAGTTAGACTGACCAGAGCCATAGCACAATTCTCAGCGGATGTTTTTATATCCACTCTTGGCACCCTTGACCAGATGGCTGGAAACCCTGACAGATTTGTTTTTAATGAAGCTTTCAGAAGTGGCAATCTGTACCCTAAGCAATTTGGAAAGAAAATAAAGCTTCTCCTGTCCTTGTGGAGTTTTTTGAGTGGTGCTGGGAGCATCCATCAGTAAAGCAGATGATAAAGGGCATCGAACTGTGAAACATCCAAGAGTAATGAGAAATTTGGGGTCAGAATTGAAAGCAGAGTTAACCAATGAAAACGTAGCTATTGGTATTAAAAATAAATAGAAATATTATAACACGTTGAAACGCGACCTTTAGCTGCAGTAATCAGTTATAACAGTTACTTAGGGCTTCACCACAGGAGTAGCTTGGAAGCAAAGGAGCCTGCAGCTTTGATGAAAGGAGCCCCCCAGTATCTCCTGGTGCTCTGAGACCTGCAGCACAGCTGGTTTGTTCTGATCCAACCAGTAAGGGCCAGTGGCTTCACTTGTTACACTGCTTTATGTGTTAGACAAGAAAAATGTGGGGTTTTTGTTTGTTTAACTTTCTTTTCCATGTCACCTGTTTGGGATAATGCTGCTTTTGTGCTGTGCTGGTTCCCTGGTGCTTTGTCAGACCTCAATCACCTGATGCTTGAGGGGTCAGAATCTAAAGTGCTGAAGTGTGGCCCAATTTGTTGAAAACTGTTTAATAAGAAATATTCTGGAGAGTATTCCTGTTATCTCCGCTCCGGAGAGTGCCCAGCTCTGTCAGGTTCATTCCTGACAGAATTCCTGGCAGGTTCATCCACTGCCTGCAGTTTAGGGACCTTAGTCCCAAACCTTAGAGGTTTCAAGGCAGCTTAGAGGTCCTGCACGAGGCTTTCAGCTTTCCATCCCTGCTTCCTTTTCAGTACAAAGGAGCCAACATTCAGCTCTTGGATCTGCCTGGGATCATCGAAGGAGCAGCACAAGGTTGGCTCATCTCTGTGCGTGCGGCTCGAGGATTTGCTGCCAGCAGTGTGCTGGGAGCTGCTTTGCTGGGCCAGGAGCTCCTGCGTGGCCTTTCCAAACTCCCCAGTTCTTGATCTATGAAGTGAGGCACGATTCTTAGCCCTGAGCCCACGAAAGGCTCTATATGGAGCAGAAAGATGCTTTTCTGGAGGTGGGAGCCAGAGCAAGGCAGTCACTTCTCACCTTCCTGTGTGAGTGTTACCCCGCTCATCTGCTTTCTGGAACAGAGGAGATCTAAAGAAAGATGCCAGAGAGGCGGAGGGGGAATTACAGCTAAATGGTAACTTCTCCTGACTGATTTCCTGAGCTCCTGCCAGCCCTCCCATGACTCCTGATTTTGGGAAGAGGTGTTCGCTTTGTCCCTCTGCTTCGTCACCTTGTTGGCTGGGCTTGTCAAAAGAAGCCTTAGGAAGTTTAGGAAAATCTCCTAATAGTCTCATCCTTCTTGACCTTGTTAATAGGGGATCCCTCTTTTTTTGTTCTTTAACCAGAATAGCCTCTTCACAGGGGTGCTGTGGCCCGTGTCACTTTTCTGGGTAGCCCGTGGAGCTCCAGCACTGCCCGTGCGCGGGGTGCCCGGGTGGCAGCTCAGCCCAGCAGCCTCACAGAGGGCTCCACTCTGCACGGCCGTTAGTGCAGCAGCAGCAAAGAGTATTTGGGCTTGTGCTGCACGTAAGGGAACATGGATGAGCCACGTGTGCTCCCTCATTCACCCCCCAGCAGTTGAGTGCAGCCAGTACAGAACTGCGGGATGTTTTTCCGTTGTTTCCAAGCAGCTCTGTGGGGTGGGAGGCCCTTGTCTGTCACAGAGGCCGAGGTCTTTCCCTGCCCTCCCGTGCCGCCGTCTCCTCTCTCCGCAGGGAAGGGCAGAGGCCGGCAGGTGATAGCCGTGGCCCGGACCGCAGACGTCGTCATCATGATGCTGGATGCCACCAAGGGGGAGGTGCAGAGGTGAGTGGGTGCTTTTGGGCACGTGGGACTGCGGGCTGGCGGGCCAGGGCCACAGGCTCCCCTGTGCCCAGAGGGCAGCTCTCTGAAACGATGCACGTGTTTGGGAATGGGTATTTGTGCTCTTCAGGACGAGGCAGGGGCCGTGCTCCATTCGAAGGGTGCTGGCTGACTGGGTGCAGCATTTAGAGCGTTTCCTAGAAATTGCACCTCAGGCTTTTCAGCTGAAGGATCCTTCCTGCAGGATGGTTGTTCAGAGATGAGTTTTCCACCACAGGCTTCCATGCATTAGCTGTGGTTGTCTGTTGCAGGGCAAGTTTATGAGAAGGCTGTGTCAATACTCAGCTAAAGATGGTAGGCAAGAAGGAGCATCCAGATCTCATCTGACCAAGCTTGGTATAACAGGTACTGATGTGCACTGTCCCTGCAGGGCCCTGCTGGAGAAAGAACTGGAGTCTGTGGGAATCCGTCTGAACAAAAGCAAACCAAATATCTATTTCAAGGTGAGGTTTCAGCCAGCTTATGCCTGGCTGCCTAATCAAAAGCAGGATGACTTTGTGCTGCCTCCTGTGTTGGACAGACTGAAGAGGGGCTGTGCATCTTGCAGACTGTTCTCAAGTTGGTTTTGTTGCCTTTCCACAGCCGAAGAAGGGTGGAGGCATCTCCTTCAACTCGACTGTAACGTTGACCCAGTGCTCGGAGAAGTTGGTGCAGCTCATCCTGCATGAATATAGTATCCTTTCCTGAAAGGGGAGACCCCTGCGCTCCAGATCAGCTGCTCACGAGTGGAACCCACTGTGGGGCTAAGCCCTTTGGTGACCCCCTGGTGCTTGCTGGGTTAAGAACAAACCTGGCTTCGTCTTTCTCTTTTTTTGTTCCTTTTCCCGGTCCTCCAAGCAGCACCAAGCTCAGCAGTTGACTCGTAACAGTGCTTAAAGTATTGGGGTTTGGGCCTTGACCATATTCACCTCAGAAATCTTCAATGCTGAGGTTCTCTTTAGAGAGGATTGTTCTCCCGACGAGTTCATCGACGTGATTGTAGGCAACAGGGTCTACATGCCCTGCCTCTATGTGAGTATCTCAGAAACAGCCCGTCTGTTACAGCACCAAACATCCCCTGACGCTCACTGATCCTGAGCAAGACCGTTCTCTGCTGAAATAAACTCTGAGCCTTCCTGCACCCTAAGGCAGTGGCGTTGGAGGGTTCAAGAGGTGGAAAACGGGGACGTTTTTGCTGGTTTTGCGTGCGTTTCCTGTGCCCTCTCGTGGCTGCTCGCTGAGGAGCAGCAGCGGGTTGGGAGCTGTGGTGCACGGGCCTGGCCTGCACAGCACAGGTGCTGCTGCAGGGGCTGCATTTGATCTTTCAGGAATGATCCCGTGGGTCAGAACTCACCAACGCTCTTCAATAGTGGCTGGGTTTATAATGAGATCCAAGGTGCTGGAGAATCTGTCACAAATCATCACAAAGGGAGAAACTTAGTGGGCCTAAACCTAAGCTTAGTCTCCTGAGCTTCAGCAGGTTATTCTGCTACAAACCTTGGCCCTCCCTCTGTTTGGTGTGATCTGTATTTCTGCTCCAAACCCCAGAGCTGCCCAGTTACAGTTGCGTGTACGCATTATACTTCCTTGTAGTACTGCTGAATTGATTTCTTAAGCGATGTGTTGTTTTTCCTTTGACTTAGGTTTATAACAAGATTGACCAGATATCTATGGAGGAGGTGGATCGTCTTGCTCGGAGACCCCACAGTGTTGTAATCAGGTAGGAGCACCTACAGCTGTCAGGTTGCTTTATACCCTGGCCCAAGTACTTTGGTGGTTCATTTCACACCTTGTTCTCCAGCTTTTCCTCCAAGAAGGGATTTCCCTGAAAACCCTGTCTGCAGGCCAGAATAAACCAGTCTAGTTTGTTCCCTTAAAAGTGCTGATATATCTGACTGAGGCTTTGCTGCTTCAAAGCTGCTTTCAGCTCTGAAAGCTCTGTTTATTTCACCTTGTTTTTAGCTCTACTGCCCTCATTAGACACTTGTTCCCTAGCACTTCAATAAGATGTTTCACCTTGCTCTTCTGGCTCTCTAAATCCTAACAGCAGTAAACCCTGAGATGTTGATGGTGTTTTGCAGCTGTGGCATGAAACTGAATCTGGATTACTTGCTGGAGAAGCTCTGGGAATACCTTGCACTTACCTGCATCTACACCAAGAAACGAGGACGTAAGTGATGAACTGAGGAGGCACAAAGGGCTGCTGGGCACCAACCACACACAGACTGCCAAAGGCGTTTGGCTGCCTGTCTGTCTGCCAGAGATCTCTTCTGTCTTGGGGATGCTGCAACTGCACTCTCCCTGACCAGTCTTTGGTGTTGGCTCTTGGGAAATGCATTTGTTCCATCTGACCCAGCCTTGCGTGTGTTTCATTACAGCTCTCTTGTTTTCTCTCAGCGGAAGAAGAGCTGAATTTTCATAAATCTTTGCATGATAATAACATAAGGAAGCAAAGTTTTCAAGCTCTTAGTTTCCCTCTCATAATAGCTGTCCCGTACATGCTGTGGTGAAGCATTCAGCTGATTGCTGCCCATAAAAGGTCCCTTGTTCCTGCTGTGCTTTGCTTGATAATAACATAAGGGAATAAAGTTTTCAAGATCTTAGTTTCCCTCTTACAATAGCTCTCCTGTACACGCTGTGGTGAAGCATTCACCCATAAAAGGTCCCTTGTTCCTGCTGTGGGAGGTCTGGTGGTTCCCGTGCTGGGCTCGTGAGGCCCAGCGGTGCCTTCGACCCTCTTTTTGCTTTACAGCTCACTTGCAGCTGCCTTTTTTGCTTGTCACTTAAGCACTTGGAATAGAGGTGGCAGAGTTGAGCTGCGAGGAAGCAGCTGACTGTGTGACATGGGTAACTGCTTGTGGACACCAGCGTGTCTGCAGAACCAGGCTGAAGCTTTCCAGCTCCTGGGTGGTAGTTCTGCCTGGGAGGCTGCTGGCAGTGCAACAGGAGGAGGAATTTGGGAGTAATAAGCACAAAGCAGTGCAAGATGGTGTTGGCATATTAGAACAAATCTGATGGAAAACCAATGCTGTTTTTTTTTCTCCTGCTTTTTCCATAGAGAGACCGGACTTCACAGATGCCATTATTCTACGGAAAGGGGCCTCTGTGGAGCATGTGGTAATTTCTCTGCATCTTTTACATTTACTTGGTAGCAGAAGGCAAGGTTCCTCTTGGAGCCTGTTAGGTTTGTGCTTTGTAAAGGTTGGAATATGTCAACATTTTGTTGGGCTTCTCTTGTTACCTTGACTAGTTCCATCTGCCTCAGGTTTCTTTCCTATCTGCTAATGTTTGTAATAAATGAAAGATAACAGAAGTTACTTAATGAAGACCAGTAAAAAAAAAAGCACATGGAAGTCCTAAATGGTGATTTACATGGCTAGTAATTCTTGTGTTTCTGTTCTGTATTCTTTAAAATGCTGTTACCTGGCTCCTAAAGTCACTATTGTAATTTCTGACATGGATCTGAGTTGTTTCTGGTTATGATGCAAGTTGTTTGCAAAGAGGTGTCACTAAACTGTCTAATAATCTGTCTGTCCTGCAGTGCCATCGAATTCACAGATCGTTAGCCAGCCAGTTCAAATATGCCTTGGTGTGGGTAAGTGCATAAGAGACAGTGAATTCCTTGTCCTTGTGTCCCTTTGACAGGTCTGTTCCTAACTCCTCTCCTCCTTTTGCTTTAAAGGGGACAAGCACAAAATACAGTCCTCAAAGAGTGGGTTTGACTCATGTGATGGAGCACGAAGATGTCATTCAGATCGTCAAGAAATAACCCTCTTTGCTCCTCGCCAGTGCCTGGCCTTGTCTTAGCCACTAGAATTGGAACTGACCACGTAAAAGCAAAACAAAACAAAAAGGAGGAAAAAAAGAGAGAGAAAAGGGAGATGTTCCACAGCCAAGAAAGCAAGAAAGCTTCTGTGAAGCTCGTTCCCTTGGAGAAAGGCAGGGAATGAGGCTGCTCAGGTGGGAATGGGGCTGATGGGTTTCCATCTTGCAGCACTTCAAGCGAGGCGATGTCTCTCAACTAAAAAGGAGTCCACTTTTGTAGGACATTAACTCCTAGAGCCAGCAGCTCCTGCCCCTAGCAGGGTTTGCTGGTGTCCATCTGTTACCCTACCCGTGACTTGCTCTGCCCGTGGGAAGCTGATGGGTTTGTGTGAGCAAACCTGGCTCGGTGCTTTGGGACAGGGAAACCAGGGCCGGGGGAACGGTACTGATGCTTTGCTGTGTGTCCATTCATTTAATTTAAGCATTCGAAATGGAAATATCTGAACTGGAAGCAAAGTTTTCCCTCCCCTGCTCACTGCACATGTTGCCTCTACAACTCTCACTCGGATACTCTGTATCTGAGATGACCCTCAGCTAATTTTTAATGGTCCCACCTCCGTTATATTCAAACCTGGCACTCTGTGCCTCATGTTAACTCTGCAGGAGGGTTAGAAGGACGTCTGGCCCAATTGGTGCTACCAAGGGAAATGAGAAATGAAACCTTGCTGATGAATGATAGACCCGGCCAAGCTGCAGCGCGGTACGATCAAAGAGCCACAGGCTGCACAGAGAATTTACTTCTGGCATGTCGCTGATCCAAGAAATTATCTTGGGAATTTCCTATTTTGCTCGTCCTGCCTGTTAGTCCGTAAGAGTGTTGTTGGGGATCTGCTTCTTTCTCAGTCACACACCTAAATTCCAAAAAAAGCTCTTTTGAGAGTGAAGTAGCATCCTATGCTATGGGTTTCACACCAGCCCTGTTGAATAATGTTGCTCGTGTGGATATTTTTCATCAGAATTCTGGGATTTTTTTTTTTCTAATCATGCTTTTTCATTGCTTATTAATGCTTACCAGTTCAGAGTGCCTGACAGAGAACAGCTCTTTTCTTCTGGGATCAAGAGCTGCCGATAGCATTTATTTTCTTTCATTGAAAAGGGGTTTAGTCTGATGTGGATTCTTAACTGCGAGGCCGAATCTGGTAACAGACTCGTCCAAGCAGTTGCCCCTTCCCTCTCTTTTGTGCTCCTCTCCACCCTTCCCAAACTAATCAAGCAGAAATGGAAGGAATATTTTATTTGAGAAAATAAAAGTTGCTATTTCATGGGAACTGTGTGTGTCTACCTGTAGTTAGACAGTTTGATGCGTGTTCTAAATTCATTTTTTTATTATTTTTTTGCATTTTCGACTGACTGAGGAATCCTGGTTGCTCTTGCAAGAGGCTGGAGGGTGAAACAGGTTGTGAGGTGGCTGAGAGCGTTCTGAGGTTGGAAAGAACCTAGATGGGGTGTGATGGGAGCTAAATAGATAATATACAGAGTATCCAGGAGGTGACTTTGTAGTTTCCCTTTGTCATTCCTGGCTTTGCTCACGGGTGGAATTAAGAGCAAATTCCACCTGTGTTGGAAACTAGTGGAGAAAGATTGTTAAAACCTCCACCTAATTAGCCTTATTCTTCACTTAAGAAATCAGGCATTTTCTTGCCCTATTCAGAATGGGCTGATAGATGATTAAATTTGGTACGGAGAAAGAGTGAAAACAGTGAAATCCGAAGAAGCTAGCTTCTTTTTTTAAGCAAGAGTAGCTATATTTTTGCAGGCAAGTTTATAGCTGTATCTGGAAATATATGCATTTAATTGCACACTGTGTTCATTCTTCCAGACGGCTTCGCTAAGTGCTCTACACGCGGCCGTTAAAAGCTGCAGACGCTGCAGCTCGGTGCCAGAGCAGGTCTGCCTGAAGAGCTCTCCAAATCCTGGGAAAGCGAGGTACTGAGAGGGGAAAACTGCCTCCGGAGCCTGACATAGCTCCAGGAGCTGCCTCCGGAGGCTGATGGGAATCAGCCAGAGCCCTTGTTGGCCCGGGAAGACGTGAGGGGGAATGTGGTGGGAGACCCTTCACGGAGCATTCCTGGGATAAGCCGGGTGCTCTCATCCCACATCCTAAGGGACTGCGCGTTTCCTGCCCCATCCCGGCTTAGGGAAGCAGAGTCTGTCGGCTCGGGCACGCTCCACCCGCTCCCTCATCCTGGAAACGGCGCAGGCCCAAGGCGTCCTCCGATAAAAACGCCTGTTCCAGGCAATCAAGCAGGTTGCATTGCCTGAACGCTCCTTTTATGATTTAATTCAGTCAGGAATCGTTTGCAAGGTGATAAAAAGAGCCTCTGACTCCAAACGCATTCATGGAATTCAATGAGGGCCGGTTAGCGCCGCTCAGGGCTGCGCGCGAGCGTCCCGCTCCGCGGTGACAACTTAACCGTTCCCAACGCCGCCGAGGGTTGCCCGAGGGTCCCGCCTGGTGCGGGGCTGGTGCTGGAGCCCCGGAGCGGGATTTGTGGCCGGCAAATAGTTCTGAATTCCTCCGCTTGCGGCGGCTGAAGGAGGAGGCAGCCCTGGGGAATCGGGGCTATTGATTGTAATTTGCAGTTAAGCTCTCGCTTTCGGAGGCAGCAGCATAATAAATACCCACTGCAGCGCTGCGGGAGGCGGGAAGCGGAGCTGATCCGGGCACCGTGGAGCTGATCCCGGCACCTGCGGCTGATCCGGGCACCGGGAAGCAGGAACCCAGTGCTGGGAGGGCAGGATGGAGGTTCCTGAGTGCTCTTTGGCTGCAGGTGGTAACAGGGAATTGTCCCAGTTGTCCCGGGGTGAAGGGACCCTGTGTTGTTGAGGGGAGCGGCTGGTGCCTCCGTGTTGCTCCCTTCTCCGGGGGCGGCTGCGGCGCCCGTCCTGCCCGCGCAGGGGGACGTGTTTGTGGCCCCGCATCCCTGTGATTTCTCTTCCTAAATCAGCTCTGGCCGGGGAGGAGGCAGCGGTCGAGGCCTCGCGCCGGCTGTTGGAGCGTCCTGGCCGCTCCGCGCTGTGGAGAACAGCAGCATCATCAAATATGCATCGGGCAGCAGCTGCCACGAGCCAACGTGGTCCTGCGGCACCGACAGAGCGAGGGGACAGCGAGGCCGCGAGCAGGACACGGACACAGCCCGGAGCCATGCGGGCCGCCTAGGCCACCCCAGGTGAGTGGCCTTTCCCGTGAGCGCCTGTCCCGCCTCTCCTATGGCCCCTTCCCGCCTTTCCTTTTACCTGGGAGATGCCTGAGCCCAGGAGAGCTCCCTGGCCCGGGAGAGCTGCAGGGCCCTGGGCTCAGCTTCGCGCTGGGGAGGACGATGCTCTGCAGCGGTGCCCGGTGCCCCAGCGGCTCCGTGGCCACGAGCGGCACGTGGAGCGCGTGCCGGGGTGCGGGATAGCGCTGATCCCGGACACGCCGCTCCCTGCTCCTCAGCAGCCGCTCCGGCCTCTTCCCCCTGGGTGACGTGTCCTGGGTGGGCAGGTTTCGCTGTCAAGCGGCAGCCAGCGAGTAGATGACACTACTAGTGTCACCCCCATGCAGCCCATCCCGCTGCTTCCCTGGCTCCAACAGGGAGGAAGACGGGAAATCAGCTGGCAATTCCCAAGCCGGCGCCGTGGGTGCGGAGGAGGCAGCTCCGTGCTGGAAAGGGCAGCTCTGTCCCACGGGCCGTGGTGTCCCCAGGGCTGTGCAGGTGAGCGCGGCGGGCACGCAGGCCCTGGAAGCGGATGCGAGTGGTGCCCCGTGATGGGAACAGGGTGACGCGTCTCCCGCTGCCGCCCCGAGGAATCCCACCCGTGGAGCCGGAGCCCTGCAAGTCACCACCCGTGGAGCCAAAGTCCCCGTCACCAGCACCTTGCTGTCCCCTGGGCTGGCCCGAACCCGCGCTTGGCCCCGCGCCTGCAGCCGGGGCTGCCCTGGGGGGACAGGGGACATGAGTGTGCCTGGCACCAGGCAGGGTGCTCCTGGCTCTGCGTGTGGCTGCTGCCCTTCAGGGTTGGTGGGGTTGACGGGTGCTCCGGGCATCTTCCCCCAGAGCCCAGACCGTGGTCACCCCAGGGAGTCTTTGATGCTGCGGTGGCACTGAGAAGGCTGCCCTGGGCTGGCAGCTTCCCTGGCTTCACAGGGTACCCGCTGCAGCACCCCAGTGCCCTGGGGTACCCCCTGCAGCACCCCAAGTACCCCGAGGTACCTGCTGCATCACCCTGTGTCCCTTGGGGTACCTGCTGCAGCACCCCAGTGCCCCAGGATACCCCCTGCAGCACCCTGCATGCCCTGAGTACTCACTGCAGCACCCCGAGTACCCTGAGGTATCCGCTGCAGCACCCTCTGTCCCTTGGGGTCCCCGCTGCAGCACCCCAGTGCCCTGGGGCACTTGCTGCAGCACCCTGTGTCCCCCAGCAGCTCCTGCTCTGCCTCTGTGCCCAGGCACCTTGGCACTTGCATCCCCTCGTCCTGCTCCACTGGGGCTGGGGGCTGCACCCGTGGGTGCAGGGCAGGGACTGGCTGCCCTGGGGCTGCGGAGGGTCCCGGGGAGGCGGGGGGCAGCGCGGGGCAGAGCAGGCCGGTTGAGGCCACCAGCTCTGTCTCGCCCTGTCCTGTCCCCTCCGGGACAGGCGCTCGGTGCAGGACGGGCCCTGCGGTGCAGGGTGTCCCCTCCGCGGGTGGCTTGGGGACAGGCTTAGCTCTGCATGGGACACTCCATCCTGGGGGTCCCGGCTGATGGGCTTTGGGACTCAGGATGCTGCTGGTTGCTGGGTTTGCCTCGCTGCCTTCATGGCTCTCTCCTCCTCTTCCTCATCCCATGGGTCTCCTGAAATACCCCCTCAAGGGGGTTCAGGGGCTGCCACCTCCCCTCTCTGCCTTCCCTGGAAACGTG